GCTCCCCGACACCGCCCGCGCCCAGGCCCTCGCGACGCCCCCGCGAGGCGCTCACCGGGACGCGGTCCGGGTACTTCTTTCGGATCTTCTCGCCCTCCTTTTTCCGGTACTCGAAGGGATGGTCCTCCTTGTACTGGAACTTCATGATGGGCCGCGGCTCGCTGTCCAGGTCCCCGCGCGGGGCCTGCCTCCCTCGCTGCAGACTGCGCTCGCGGTCCCGCTGGCTCAGGCCGACGGCGGGGCTCCGAGGGTCGCTCGGGGAACGGCAGCTCCCGCGGCACAGCACCTGCCCGCTCCGCAGACACTCTGAGCCGGCGGTGGAGGACGGCCAGGAGGAGAGACCCCGCGGCTTCCCCGCGAGCCCAGCACGAAAACACGGGGGCGGGGCGGTGTGTTGTGACGTCACCTGGCCCCGCCCTCCCCCGCCCCCGGCGCTCGGGACTGCGCCCGAGGGGGGGAGGACAGGGACCCCGTCTATCTCAAACGCTTTCCTTTCCGTTTGTAACTCTTTCAAATCGTTTCCCGAGCTTACAGCATAATACTTCGTTTATTGTTGTATTGTGATTGTCACATCAACAGTGGCTTCATAGCCTTGAACAAGGTTCTAAAGATGCTTTCTCCCCTCTCTTCTGCATTCTTGGTTGGGTCCCAAAACAAATACACAAGGAAAATCTAGCGTCTTCCAGCCGGTGCGGATCTGGAGGCCAGCGCCAAGAACAAGGGCGGAGACTCTCGGGATTCCTCGTACCGGAGCTGAAACGTCTCGTGCTTGCCTTTTCACCTTTGCACGCCGGGCACCCCAGGGGCTGGGCTGGGCTCCTCCGCCCGCTCCGCCCCAGGTGCCTGCTGCAGTCGTTCTTAGAAGGGCAACACAAACCGCGTGACTCAGGCCTCTGAAGGTGAAGGGCAAGAGCGGCAGCGAGGCTCCCAGAAGTGGTGCCTCCCAAGGGCTTCGGGCACGTTCTACGAATAACCCAGACGGTATTCACTTTCCCCTGCTCCCAGAAGTTGGGCCTGTCTTTTGGAAAGAAAACATCAAGCATTTTTAGGTGATTAACTCTGTGGTTCTGAAAACAATTTTTTTTTTGAACTGGCACAAAAATTCACCCAGAGCATAGATGTAGTGGTTACAGAACGCGCTGAGTGGAGGGAGGATTCCAAGTGGGGCCAGGGCGGTGAGGCCGTCTTCTAGCGCTCCGCTCCGGTTTCCCTACTCGATTAGAGGACAAGGCCTTTCCACTAGTGCTGTTGGCAGCGAGATTCCTGGGGTCTGTAGAGGGAGAGCGTGAGAAATGGAAAAAGAGGGGCAGGGCTGAGTTTTAAAAAATCCTGGACTATGTGCCATAAAAAGAAAGAAGTTATGTTATATGCACCCAACTCCCCACCCACAATGGATTTTTTTTTTTTTTTTTTTTTTTTTTGTAGCTTTGAAACAGGGTTTCAAACCAGGCGTGGTGGCACACGCCTGTAATCCCAGTATTCACATCGTAAATTCAAGGCCAGCCTGCCCTACCTAGGGAAACCCTGTCTCAACAAACAAAAGAAACGGTTTCACTATGCAGTTCAGCCTGGCCTTGAACCCACTCTGTAGCCTAAGCTGGCCTCAAACTCGCAGTGATCCTTCTTCCTCAACCTTGTGAGTGCTGGAATTACAGGCTTGCACCACTTCGCCCGGCTTGGATGTAATTATTATGTGATGCAAATATGTACTGATAAAAATTAAAATTAAAAAAATACGAAATAAGGGGCAACAGCATCCCCTTCTATCTTTGTTATAAACGCTTCAAGTGTCTACTTTAAATGACAAAGCCGCTGGGGATATAGCTCAGTGGCATAGCGCCTACTTGGCAAGCATGAGTTCGATTCCCAGTACCAAAAAAAAAATCTTTTTGAGACAGGGTCTCACTGTGCAGTTCAGGCTGGCCTTGAACTCACAACGATCCTCCTGCCTCAGCCTCCTCAGTGCTGGGACTAAAGGTGTGTGCCACCATGTCCGGCAAAAAAAAAAAATCCACAAAATAGAAAAAACTAAGCTTCATTATTGAAATAAGAAAATATATTACAAACGCTTCTTATTTTGATTTCAATCCTTTCCACATATGAAAATCCATAAATTAATATTAAATTACATATTTTATAATTTTCATAACTTACTTTCAAATTGAAGGTGCTTTCATTCCCATTTACTCATTTTAACTTTTTTTTCTTGGTTTTTTTTTTTGTTGTTGTTGTTCTCCTTTTGAGACAGGGTCTTGCTATGCAGTTCAGGCTGGCCTTGAGTTCACTCTGTAGCCCAGGCTGGTCTCGAACTCACAAGAATCATCTGGCCTCAGCCTCCCTAGTTCTGGGATTACAGGCATGCGCCACCAAGCCCGGCTCACTCATTTTAATTTTGATCCAAACACAGTTCAGGGGGGCTGGGGATTTAGCTCAGCGGCAAAAGCACCTGCCTGGCAAGTGCAAGGTCGTGAGTTCGGTTCCCGGTACCGGAGAAAAACCAAAAAAAAAAAAAAAAAAACAAACACAGTTCAGCTAAATCTTTTAAAGGAGAATTTTATAACCAGTTGAGAAGGATAATTGGAGATTAAAATTTTAAGTGCTGTCTTTTTAAACTGCTGGAAACAACTATAACTAGTTAAAATGCAATATACCTTAGCACAGTGGCAATGTGTACAGTATGTAAAAAATAAATTGAACTAAACTTGGTGGCCCACACTTGTAATTTGAACACTCTGGAAGCCTGAGGCAGGAAGATAAGAAGTTCAAGTTTAATTTTGCAATTTAGCAAGAATCTCAAAATTAAAAATAAGCGGGGGTGGTGACACACGCCTGTAATCGGGAGGCTGAGGCAGGAGGATCCTTGTGAGTTTGAGACCAGCCTGGTCTACAAAGGGAGTCCAAGGCCAGCCTGAACTGTGTAGTGAGATGCTCTCTCAAAAAGACCAAAACAGGGGCTGGGGATTTAGCTCAGCGGCAAAGCGCCTGCCTGGCAAGCGCAAGGTCGTGAGTTTGGTTCCCGGTACCAGAGAAAAACCAAACCAAAACAAAACAAAAAGACCAAAACAAAAAAATAAAATAAAATAGAAAGGACTGAAGGATTAACTCAGTGTGAAGGTCCTAGGTTTAAGATCTAGTACCACAGCCATGATCACGACCACAATAATAATTATAATGATGATAATAATAATTTGGACATGAATTTCTGATCATTTAGAGAGGGAAGATTGGCTACTCTTTTTTTTAAAAAAATGTTAAATATTCTTTATTTGGTGTTATACATACACCACACTAAAATGCCTTTCTCTAAGTAAAAGACAGCACTTTTTAGATATAGGGAATTCTAATTAAATTGGCATAGTCAAGACCAAAAATATAGACGTTGCTTTCTTGTCTTCAACCACTCCCTTTAACAGGCTCAGAAACACAAACTGAACCAGGGGGGTCTTGCTTGGTTTTGAGACAATGAGGAATTTCTCCATATTTAAGCATATTCACAGAACCAGTTATATAAATCTAAATATAAAACCAACCTTCAGTAAGTTGAGATGACATTCTCAATCTTTGTGAAAAGTCAAACATTACTAATCATGTCCAGCTATTTATTTATTTATTTATTTTTCCTGGTACTGGGAATCGAACTCACAACCTCACGCTTGCCAGGCAGGCGCTGTGCCACTGAGCTAAATCCCCAGCCCCAACCATATATTTAGAAAGGGGAAAACAGTGATAGTATTTACTGAAGTGGAATTACTATCAAAACTTGGGAGGAAAAAGATATCCATTTAACTACAAGCCAATTTTACTTAAATCAGGACTATCCAACAAAAATATTCTGTCAGCCACTCATGATCTAAATTCTGGTGTATGAGATCTATTAAAGCATGGTACACGTAAAAAAGCCATGAGACATTTCTCTTCTGTAATAAGACAGTGACTATTACTCATTAGTAGCCTTTTTGAGGTACTCAATTAAGTCTGCCCTCTCTCCCTTCTTCGTGATGCCAGCGAAGATCATTTTTGTTCCGGGGATGTACTTCTTGGTATTCTCCAAATACTCCCTCAATGTATCCTCTCCCCAGGTGATGCCTTTGTTCTTGTTGGCATCTGTGCAAGAGAATCCAACAGCCTGACCTCTCTCCTGCCCAAAGAGACCATGGAGATTTGGCCTGGTTTTGTGTCTGCCTCCCTTCTCAACCGTGTGGCACTGGGCACACTTCTGTATAAAAATCTTTTTGCTTTTCTCAACATCACCCATTCTTAAACCTCAAGGAAGGCTCCAGTTCAGAATCCAGATGTCCCGCTCTCTAGCCCAAGGACAAGCTGGTCCACTGGCTACTCTTTTTAGCATTAGGCTTTTGTGTGTATGTGTGTGTGTGTGTGTGTGTGTGTGTGTGTTTGTGTGTGTGTGTGTGTTTGAGACAGGGTTTTGCCATGCAGTTCAGGCTGGCCTTGAACTCAATTTGTAGCCCAGGCTGGCCAACGTCCTGAGCACTGGGATTACAGGCATGTGCGACCACTCCTGATCACCACTAGGCTTTTCTAAATGCTGAATCTTTACATCAGAATTCAAAATCTAAACTAGGTGTGATGGCACACACTTATAATCCCAGCACTCTGAGAAGCTGAGGCAGGAGAATCACAAGTTCCCACCCAGCCTGGGAAATGTTTTGATTTAGCAAAATTCTGTCTTAAAATAAAAAACAAAACTGGGCATGGTCTCTGTTAGGGTTTATGTCTAGATGTCCCCCCACAGCCTCTTGCAATCATGGGGGACAGGCTCTTCACATGCAGCTGAATCAAGAGTTTGTGATTGATTCATAGTCCAATGCTGGGATTAAGGGTGTCAGTGCTACACCCACACCAAAATGGGTAACCTAAACCTGGGTGTGGTAGCGCAAACCTATAATCCCAGCACTCAGGAGGCTGAGGCAGGAGGATCGTTGTGAGTTCAAGGCCAGCCTGGGCTACAAAGTGAGCTCAAGTCCAACCTGAACTGTGTAGTGACCTTGTCTGAAAAACACCAAAAATAAATAAAATAAATAAATTAAATAAAGAAAATAAAATGGGTAGCCTGCATACATTATAAGGGACAGAAAAAGGCTTTCCTCTCTTTTTCTCTCTTGTTGCTTTTGCTATCCTCCACCACCATGTACTGTTGCCCCTCTGCCATGTGCCACCCTGATTTGGAGCCAACCGATTATGGACTAAACCTCTATAAACTGTGAGCTAAATAAACCATTTCCCTTTAACTTTAGGTGTCTATCAGGGGCTGATCAGTCCCCCATCTACCTAGTAAGGGGTACAATAAGGAATAAAGAAAGACATACAGAGGGACACACTTTCAAAGTACACAGGGTTCTGGGCAGTCAGTGCCTCAGGATGGGCAGATGGATGACACTGTGGGTGGCCACCGTTTGTTGGATGAACATAATAATCAGAGGGATTATCGGATGACTCAGAGGGTGGAGGTGTGTTATACCAAGCTGGTCTTATGCTGATGAGGATCGCTTCAGATGATTTAGAGTAACAGTGATCTTATGCTAAATAGGACCTTTTTGTTGAGAACTGTGGGGAGAGATAGCAGGTTAAGGAGTTTGTCCTTTTCCCAAGGTAAAACCCTATTTTTATTATTACTGGGTTCTTAGGAACCAGAATGTTTTGATATCTTCAGATGATTAATATTGCCCTGGAGCATCTCAGCATTATGGGAACATTCAGGTCTCCACTGTGACAGGAGGCACAGGGAATTATGTTCTTGAACACCATAACCAGCCCACATGGCAAGGGACTAGGCCTTGGACAAGCCCTAATCACAGTTTAATTATGAAATATTTTTCCCCCCAAACTATATGGAATGGTCCTCAACAGGTATCTGATATTTTGTCTCAGCAACCAGCAAAGTAACTGAGATAGTGGCACACACCTATAATTTAGCACTCAAGAGGCTGAGGCAGAAGAATTTGGAGAGTTTAAACTACACAGACAGGAACTAAATAAATAAAAGGGGCTAGGGATACAAGTCAGTGTAAAGGTGCTGGGTTTGATCCCCAGTAAAAAATATGAGCCAGGTATGGGTATGATAGTGCATACTTATAATCCAAGCACTCCGAGAGGCTGAGGCAGGAGGATCTTAAATTCCTACTCAGCCTGAGCAGTTTAGCAATTTGAGAGACTTTCAAAATAAGAAAGGACTGGTGACATAGCTCAGTGTGAAGGCTCTACATCTAACCCCTAGTACTACCAAAAAAAAGAGAGACAGTGAGAGAAAGACAATATAAAATCTGTAAATTTCAAAGTTTGCTTTTTCACCTTTATTCTCATCAAGGCATCTAAAATATACAAAGCTAATTTTATAAATTAACACATTTCATCAAATAAAATATTTCAAATTTTCCTTTTTAGTCAGACAAATAGTACATTGAAAACATCACATTTTCTCAAATATCCATTTCAACTTTTTTGTAGTAATCTTCTGGGTTTTTTTTTTTTTTTTTGGTTTTTTCTCCGGTACCAGGAACCGAACTCACGACCTTGCGCTTGCCAGGCAGGCGCTTTTGCCGCTGAGCTAAATCCCCAGCCCCTGGGTTTCTGTTTTTAAGGGTTAAAATTTTTTCCAGTTGTTTAAGACTACTTTCAGACGGTGCCAAACTAGTACTCCCCTTTCTTTTTTAAGTTGAAAGTAAATTTAAACATCATGGCACTTTACCACCAAACAGTATATTTTTCCTTCTGAGGGGTAGTGTGCCTCCTTTGTGATCACAGTACTGAGGCAGAAGATTAGGGCACGGCAAACTGGCTGAGCAAGTGGGCATGACTTGTCCATCAGAGAGACCCGGGGACATGTGTGCAAAAAAAAAAAACACCAAAAAAAAAACCAAAAACAACCAGTTCCCAAAAACCCTGCATTTAGACTGTTATCTTCAGCTCTTCTCCTGAGAAGTCAAGCAGGTTTTTGATAGGACAGCGTAGAGCTGACCTCAGCCTGAGGAGTGGCAGATACAAAAGATGGCCGCCATTAAACTCTTGGTCGCTGTTGCCTTTCTCAGTGGTTCACTCTCACCCTGTAGCCTGTACTTTTCCAACTTAACTTGTCCCCGCTGGCTCTGCAGAGCATGTTTTCTTTTCTACCATTAGTAAATGTAAAACCTTGCTGTCTTTTACACTTGTGTTCTCCAATTCTTTGTTCAGGCCAAGAAGAACCTGAAAAGAATCTCTAGAAGAAGTCCCCAGAACCCGGTGACAATACTGCTATTATAGCTAAATTTTTTTTCAGTATTACCCCAAATATCTAACATTGTATATAATTTATATTCATACTCCTTCAATGCTTCTAAAATACTTTCAGTATTTTTTTCCCAGTCAAGTGTAGGGATCTGTTGGGTTCTTGCTGTACCCCAGGAAAGAACAGCAGCAAGAAAAAATAGACAAGAGACAAAAAGCTGGGATCAGGTGGAGGTCCTCTCTCTCTAGTGGAAAAGGGGAACTACCCAAGACCAGTAGAGCATTTATTTATACCAAGAGATTGGTTAATTTTCACCTCGCTGTCCAGCAATCAGTTAACAAGCTACAATGGCTTGTTTACGTGTTTTGAGGAGCTCCTGTGTCCTCGGGCTCCCATGTTCTTGGGCTGGCTTCGTCCTGCACCTGTAATTACTTTGCAAGTTCAGCAGCTTCCAACAACTCTCTCTTCTCTGCTTTGTAAATGATGGGCGATTAGCTGGAAAGGCCATACTTGGAGAATACAGTATTCTGTATTCCTAACAGTAGTCCATTGCCAGTCTAGTTGGTAAAATGCCCAAAGTTGTTGGTGGTTTGAACCCTTTACAGCTAACATCTTACTATGACGATGCTTATTTATACATCTTGTGGTTATGCATTTCTGCTGGATGTTTAAGATCAAGTTAAGGCAAGACCCATATTAATCTTTTTTTTCCTATCCATCAAGGTCAGTTAAATCTCCTCAGTGTTGCTTTGGAACCACGCACAGCACCTCTAGATCCACTGTCAGTGTCAGCCATCTGGATGAGTCACAGCCATTGCTTGACCAAGTTGCTTTCTGTGAAAGCTTGAGAGACCTAATCTCTCCAAGTGACTCTCCTTAGGCACACTGTACATCCTTAATTCGCTTTCCTCTGTGATCCCATAATCTTCTTGATCAGGAAATCAGGGCCTCAACTGAGTCATAGGATGTCGCAGCAGAGGTTCTCTTCTGCCCTGGGTTTACTCTGACCACAGAGGACTAGGACTAAAATATTGACTCTTCTCTTAGCCCATTTATCTTTCTAATTTTCTAGTCTCAAAATCTAAGTTATTAAACATCCAGAAGAGAAGCTTAATGACATTACACTATAATAGAGACAGTAAGCTTAACATTACTATCTATGTGAATATCAAACACCTTAGAATATAAAATGGAACTGTTATTTTCTTAACCATGGATATCCTATCATTTAAATCCCTAAGAGGCAGGCCACAGGCGCCCACTCCACAAGGCCGCACATGGCTGGGGAGTGAGGGCCCTTTGGGGCCCGGCACACCTGGCTGCGCAGGCACCTGGAAAGGCAGACAGCAGGCACCCAGGAAGCAGCGTGGAGATCTGTGCTGGCCCTTGGGCTGGCCGCTGCCCAAGAAACGCCATGCCATAGAGAAGCACTGACACAATAGGCCCACCCAGAGACATGCATGAACCATTCCGACATGGAGAAACCTCTGGGAAAACATGCCACATGGCGTGTCGCTCTTGGCCCTGTCCTTGAGAGCCAGAAAGGTTCAGAGTCGGGAGGAGCAGCCGATGAACAAGGACTAAGAGAACATGAGAGTACCGACGCCCAACAACACAGAGATCGAGCTGACTGGGGACGCAGGAGCCATTCAGGAGCTGGAAACCAGGAGGACCTTGTGTGAAATACCTGGGCAGACCCCCTGGGGGCCATTCTTCCCCTAACTGTGCAGGCTGCAGTGGAGGAGCAAGTGGAGCTCCAGAGAGGTCTGCATCGAGACTTCATGGATTAAATGGGCACCCAATATTCAGATTTTGAAGAACCACCTTCATGGAGAAGGTACCTGTCTAGGGTACCTGCCTGGGACACTTTGCACCTGATGGTGCTGAGACT